GAGACCTCCCCGTGCGTTGATAAGCACATATAAGCTGAGTAAGCAAGCATTGATGAGTCAGGCGTAAAGCCGCGAAATCCCCGGCGTTGTCGGCCCACACCAATCCCCGTAAACACCAAACTAAATCAATTTAGAACCTAGACACGTTCCTCTTAACCTCTACCTCTACCTCGAAATTTGACTAATTCGGTTTTAAAGTGTAAACCCGAGGACTCGATCCTCCCCCCCTCCCCCATCGGCTACAGTTTTGTGCTACAACCGGTTCCGGCGTCCGGAAGAAAGTCGCCCTTCCTGCACAGAAAATTTTTCTATTCATGCAGCCCCGCTCCATATATATTCGATTGACTATCCAACCGCATCCAGTCTCAATCCACGCACAGCTCAAAACTACACACCATGGCGTTCCAACCCAACGACTACCTTACCGGTCTCAACCTAGACTTTGACCAGGACTTCACCTCGATGCTGCCTCCGGGTTTGCAGCAGCAGGACTTCGACCTTTTTGGTCTGGCCGGGGGTGACTTTTTGTCGCTCGAGGCCGCTCCCAACCATGAGGTCGCCCCCGTCAAGCCGGTGGTGCAACTGTCGCCGCTGCCGCTGGCGCTGCTGCTGCTAGCCAACGCGGTGGTGTCGGAGGACAAGCGCAAGCGCAACACCGCGGCCCTGGCCCGCTTCCGCATCAAGAAGAAGATGAAGGAACAGGAGATGGAACGCCGCTCCAAGGAACTCGAGGAGAAGGTGGCGGCGTTGGAGAAGAAGTTGAAGCAGCTTGAGATGGAAAACAAGTGTCTCAAGACGATGATCACTCAGCGCAATGACAAGAAGAACGACGACTTGCTCGACGAGATCAAGCGGAGACTGATCTTGGACCTGAAGCCGATGTTTACCTACACCAGTTAGTGTATTTACCTGACACTTGGTAGTATGGTATACTTCGAGGGGAAATTTGACGATGATGATGGGATTAAAATCCAACTTTTATGACCGTGAACGACTTTTGCATAGCCGATCCAACTCGGCTCGGCACTTTTAATAGACCATTTTAGTTCTTGTTGCATGCAACCCATTATAAATGAGTCTCAGGCCAACAACTTATGTTGGCCGGGCGCTTATTCTATCAATTGTGATTCTTTACAATTCAAAACATGGCTGGCTGGCGTTACTGGGTGTCTCCTAGCTCGCCACAGCCTCAGCCGCGTAGTACAAGATCAACGTTATCTTTCGACAAATCGGGATTATATCCGGCAGGTTAGCTTATGACACAGAGCTGGGTACGACGGATCCTTCGGAGACACCGGCACCCGCTTCCACCCGATAAATGATGATTAATTCTTGGTTTAATACTCTCTCCTATGTCTCTAAGTTAAGCCCTCGAAACTCATTTTCTCTCCCTACGTCAATCTCAGAGTAAATTGGCGCCGAGGAAAGTCGCGAGTTTAGGGGCAAGAATTGCCACCACCGTGGCCCCCCATCCACGTGTTGACACCCCGAATTGGGGTTGGTGGATTGTTTTGGTGTTATGAAGTCTTGGGACCCACATTGACAGACGCACCTCTACACTCGGGAATTAGCTCTAGAATTAATTGGCAAATAGGAGAGAGACGGAGACTGTCGAGGACCGTGGCGTGAGATTTTTCATTTATGTGTGGTGACGATGTTTGGGTGACACCGAGATTGTGGCGTTACATCAGTGATTAGCTTAGCAGACCCTCTTCTGCAAGGAGTTATCAAGCTTAGCGCTGACCTAAACAAATTCTGATAACTCCACTATCCGCAGCGTTGAACTGTATATCTGGCCTACTTTTATGATAGCACTCCTCTGAATGAGATGAAGTGTATGCTTACTCGAGGCGGGTTGTACCAATTCTTCAAATTCAATCAAGGCAAGCATAATTACATTGAAGTCAACACGCTTGGGCTATCGTAGTGCCGGGGCCACAGCCTCCTTAACTCACAGCCGTCATGATCATTTCTCAGATCGCTATCATGCGCGCAGCAGGTGAGGGATAAATGTTTCTCAAGGAGCGACACCCCACGACCGACAAGCCCCTCCAGTGGCAATGGTGTGGCACTGCTGGCTTTCGCTCCGACAGTCTAGACCTGGCGAGATCGCGAAGGCTATAATTGGTAGTTGTGTCACATACTGATCTATCTCACTCGGGGCATGTTACGCGCGATATATCTGCGCGACGCCCGACTTCCGCTGCCGACAAACATCAGCAGTGTATCTTCAAAGTCTTTTTTTCCCCTAAAAGCCATCGTAGCCTATAGGTGACAAACAGGGTTTTTAAGGTGGGGAACAGCCATATGCAGTATACGCCAACCCCTCTTTCTTGTCCTCTCAGATGCCACTGTGAACCCCCC